ACAATTAGTAAATCCACCAACAAGGTAATTATGAAAAATTAATTCACCCAGGCCCAGGCCCCCAGGCCCAGGCCCCCAGGCCCAGGCCCCCAGGCCCAGGCCCCCAGGCCCAGGCCCCCAGGCCCAGGCCCCCAGGCCCAGGCCCCCAGGCCCAGGCCCAGGCCCCCAGGCCCAGGCCCCCAGGCCCAGGCCCCCAGGCCCAGGCCCCCAGGCCCAGGCCCCCAGGCCCAGGCCCCCAGGCCCAGGCCCCCAGGCCCAGGCCCCCAGGCCCAGGCCCCCAGGCCCAGGCCCCCAGGCCCAGGCCCCCAGGCCCAGGCCCCCAGGCCCAGGCCCCCAGGCCCAGGCCCCCAGGCCCAGGCCCCCAGGCCCAGGTCCCCAGGCCCCCAGGCCCAGGCCCCCAGATCCAGGCCCCCAGGCCCCTCTCAGGAGCACCGAGAAAGGGAGAACTGATTCTTTTTTCTACTTTCCCATTCCTTTATAGTGCTCTTATCTCCCTGAGGTCATCTTGGGTCGTGGGTTTCTATACCATTTCACGCAGCGTTTTTTATTCTAAAATTTCAAAAGTTTTTTCGCATCTTTTTCTTGCCACGTGGATTTGTTTTATTAAAATAAATGAATTTTTTTCCGTCACGTTTAAATAACACTTGAATTTTTTCTTCTAAAATCTGTGAAACCCTTTTAAAATATCGTTTTTTGAACCTAATTATCTCGTTTCCTGTTTGAGATATCAAAAATATGTCAACTAATGAACTGCTTATAATAAATATAGAATGACCCGCCCCTAAAGTGAGCAACTGAGAAAAGGTTTTTAATATAATGATAAAAATTTTGTCAGTTGATCACTTTTTGATATCTTTCACAAAAATCGAAATAAATTGGCTCGAACCTTATTGGCTTCAAACAATGATAAATACTAAAACTTCCGAAATTTGAAAAGTTTTCCCAAAAACTTTCAGAAATTATAATATAAATTTTCCAAGAACAACAATTTGAACACTTTACTGCCCAATTACAAGAAACATTTCAGAACTAAAATGCCCATAAAAACCAAAATCGATCTTCCGTTTCCGAGATTTTCTCGATTTTTCCGTGCAATTTCAGCATCGATATCTCTCTGGATATAATCTGAAATTTTTCGCATTTTCTGGGACTTATTTTGCAGAAATACTATTTTTTCCTTCCATCACCTCACCACAAACCAATCCATCGATTCTGACGATCCACGTCATCGTGTCCGTTAGCTGGCTCTGAAGATCATTGCAGAATTTTGATGTTTTTGACAGTTCAGCACTGTTATTGTACATTTGGACCGGAACATGGGTTTGAGGAGCGTGGTACTTCTGAAAAATTCGAAATTGTGTGTTGTTCAGGAATTCGAAATACAAAAAATTCCAAAAAGTTTTTAAAATTTATTTTCCAAAATTCGAAAATGAATCAATTGAACAAAAAATTAATTTCGACATTTACCAAATCTTCCAGACTTCCGAAGTTAGGAAATTCTTAAAACGGAAAATACCGGAGACCGGAAACTTCCGGAATGCAATGAAGTTCGACTTTTCCGGGATACCGTAACATTCTGACACTTACCACAAATTTCGGAATAGTCACATTGCGTAATTCCGGATTGTTCTCGATCAAAATCACAGGTTCACCCTTTCTCATAGACATGACCGTGGTCAAACTTCCTAAAAAATTGGTGTCCGTCAAATTTGTATTTCTGATGATCAAATTTCCAAAAATGGTATCCACATTTGCCAATTTTCCAACAAAAATCTCGTTTTTCTCATCAATTAACAAATTTCCAACTATTTTCAAACAATTAGAAGCCATAACTTCTAATGGAGTGTCTCGAACATCACAATATTTTTGTGATAATAGTTCTGAATTGTTCGAAAGTCTACAGTAATCTCCAATCATCCAATTAAAGTTGGTATCGTTGTAAACCATGAATTTGAGCATTTCCGAAACTGTAATACAGAAATCTGGATGATTATAGGAGACTGATACAGTGAACGAGCTGTAATTGGCGTATGGAGAGTGGACGAGCTGAAATTGGAAAATTGATTTCTGAAATTCCAGATTTCAAACTCAAAAATCGATTAAAGTCAATTAAAGTATTCAAAGTATGCAATTAAAGCATTCATATCTGAAGTTCGAAAATTCAAATTTTTTGAAAATTGATAATTCAACAAAATTTTTTATTAAAAAAGAGCTTACATTTAATTTCGGCAAGTTCAACTGAGTCATATTATTGTTAGATCCAATTTCAATATTGCAAGAAACATTTGACAAATTCAGAAGTCCAACGTCTTCCATTCTGTAGTTTATGGAATGCCGAAATGTCCCAACGTCATCTGACATTATTTTTTCATTTTCAGATATTTTTTCTGAAATTTTCAATTTTAACTCACAACAATCCACAGTTTCCAAGTTTGCCAAAAACTGAGTGTTCTTGAATCTTGTATGAGTTACAGCAAATTGAAACGCAATCACATTTTTCATATTTTTCAGAGTTTCAGCTAGTTGTTTTTCAGACAGATCTGTTTGACCGTCGATCCGGAAGCCATATGGTGCACAGACAGTTGTACAGTTTCGTGGAAAATCATCTATAAACCAACTTCCCAGAATGTTCGTTTCGAAAAAACAACCGGGTACTGGAAAAACATTTTGGAAAAACTTTTTTTTTTCAGTTTCAACTCACAACATCTTGGATCCTGACGAATCTCGAGTTCCATCGGATCCGGACCATAATCGATTTCCGTTCCATTTTGAGGGATTGCTGTAGCGTTTTCAGCTAATACGGGAACTACGAGAGCCAGAAAAAATAAGTAAAGTATAATCATTTTTTCCGGAAAATGATTAAGAACAACGTCCCTGAAAACTTTGCACCCAGCACCTTATAGACAGGTGAAACTAGAGGCACAGATTAGATTCTGACATTTCTATTTTCTCACGTTTCCCAGAGCGAGTTTTTGATCTTATTTCTGCTTTTCGTGAGCTGAAAATATGACTCAATTATAAAAATTGGATGTTTCAGGTTGGTTGTCATGGATATGATCTGAAACACTTTCTGGAAATGATTTCATTTGAGTTGCGATTACGAAATAATGTTTGTAGTATGATCTAAAATTATTTTTGACAAATGGAATGTAGATTGTTAAATTTGGAAATGTCTTTTTTTTCGGAAATTGAAAACTTTGTCTGGCATAAACCACACTGAGATAACTTTATGATTCAGGAAGATTGAAAAAATGGAAAATGACTCATAACCTTTTTGTTACTTCATGTAAACGGCTTCTAGAATTTCAGAGTCTCAGAATCTTAAAATCACAAAACCTGAAATCTGGAAATTTCAGAATTTCAGGTTCTCGAATCCCGAACTCCTCAGATTTCAGGATATCATAATCGCGAATCGCAAATTTTGGAATCTCAGAATCTCAGAATCTCAGAAAAGCCGAAGATCTCGAATTCTTTAATTTCAGATTTCGTGATTCACAATTTCAAAACCTCAAAAGCTTGAAATCTGGGAATTTCGGAATCTCGTAAACAAACATTCCAGTAAAAACTTTATTTTCAAATCAATCACAGTAAAATGATAAATCACAAATTATTTCCGGTATTACTCGATCTTTCTAAAAACCAAAAATAAATCCAACTGCCGCCAAAATCATCAATATTTGTCTTCCACCAGTGGTTCGGGAAGATTTGTCTTTGACCACAGAAGCCGCCGCCGCCTTCTCCACGTCTTCTGAAAATTCAGACATTCTGAATTTGAAAATTCGAAAAAAATAAATGTTTCAATAAGCTTCCCATTTTTAGAGCTTTTCAAAAATTGAAATATTTTCATATATCGTGTTGAAGCTCCAACTTACTAACCACAAACTTTATCATCAAACTTCACAATCCACGTATCACTTTTTGTGATTCCATTCCGAATATCATAACAGAAACTAGGAGACTTGATCAATTCCAAACTGTTATTATCAAATCTGACAGGAACGTATGCACGCGAAGTGACTCTCTGAAAATAAAAAAAAACAAAATTAACTCTCTTTTTTTGAAACTCAAAAACCTCCAATTTTGGGAACGACACATTTGCTAGCATCTCGTTCTGTTCCACAATCAACGCTGGTTGCTCATCTGAAAAATTTGAATTTTTTAAATTTTTCATACAACTCAAAAACCTGTCAACGAAATGATATGCTCCAAATTGTCTAGAAAATCAATACTTGTCAAGTTGGTTCTTATAATAATCAAGCTTCCAAAAATGTTAACCACAGAAGCCAATTTATCCGCATGATCCTCATTTTCCTCATGAATTATAACATCTCCATGAACGTTTACACAATCTGTGCTCATTTCCGACCATGTATAATTCACCAAATCGCACGTCTTCGCTTCTGATGACGTGTGACTCTGAGGGCAGAATGATCCGGTTAGCAGACTAAACCGAATATAGTCGTAGGTCATAAAATTGGACATTTCTTGGAGGGAAATACAAAACTCTGGGTGTAAATTGTAGGAAACTTCCACTTCAAGTGTGTAATTCGGAGCAAGTGGAGAGTGAATGGGCTGGAAATGAAAGAATATGTTGAAGTTTGAATTTTGAAAAACTCACGATAAGTTTCGGCAAATTTAATCTGGTCATATTGTTATTATTGAGGATGAAAACTCGACAAGAGACATTTTTCAAGTTTGGCATTCCGATTTCGGTCATTCGATCGTTCAAGTTGACTTTGAAGTCCCAAAGGTTTCCTGTAATTTTGAGTTGATGCACGGGAAACGCAACCATGTGCATTTCTCGGACATTGGCGCATTTCCAGTGCCTTTTTGAATCTCTAAAATTCATTAAATTACCCACCACAATCAATAGATTCTAAATTTGCCAAAAATTGTGCCGATTTGAATTTCGACCTTGAAACCAAAAGTCCGCCCACCAAATGTTTCATATTTTTCAGCGTATCGTTCATTTGTTTTTCAGTCATATCACATTCGATTCCGATTCGGAGAGTTGTTCTTGTACAAACCGTTTCACATAAAACTGGGAAGTATTTCATAGAGGATAATGTGAGAGAATCGAATTCCAGTGTACAAGCAGGGGCTGGAAACTTATGAATGTACAAATGTACAAGTGTTCAAATAAAACTTACTGCATCGAAAATCCCAAAATGGATCGTTTGGAGTAGTAGTTTCAGGAACAGTGGTCGTCGGGATTACTGTAGTGTCTATAGCAGGAGGGTAGATTGGGGATACTGTAGTTCCCTCAAAAGCTGGATACATTGGGGACACGGTAGTGTCTGCGGGATAGATTGGGGATAACGTAGGTGGATAGATAGGAGAAACTGTACTTTCTACAGTATACGGAAAAATGGGGGAAACTGTTGGCGGGTAAAGAGGAGACACTGTAGTTTCGGGATATATCGGGGACACAGTGACCGGATACAATGGAGATATTGTAGGTGGATAGATGGGGGATACAGTATCCGGATACAATGGGGATACGGTAGTCTCTGGATATATCGGAGATATTGTAGGTGGATAGATAGGGGATACAGTAGCTTCTGGATAAATTGGGGAAACAGTAACTGGATACAATGAAGATACTGTGGCTTCTGGATAAATTGGGGATATTGTAGATGGTGGATAAATTGAGGATACTGTAGCTCCAGGATCGCTTTGAGCCTTTAGTTTCACTATCGATAACAGAAATATTACTGAAACTTCCTTCATTCAGAAAACTTCGAAAAAACTTTCCGAGTAGAAGGAAACTGAAAATGCACCTAGAATGAGTAAGTTTTCAGAAAATGTGAAGCCAGATGGAAATAATTAGGTTTTCTCCGCTTCTTCGTTTTTTGTTTGTTTCGGTTTCCTTGGCTCATACTCACACGCCCCCTTTTTTCTCTTGATATGATTATGATAAAGAAGCATAAACTAGAGACTTGTTTGACAATTTTAAATATGATGTGACATATATTGGAAAGGTTTTAGACAGAAAATTGGGGAATACGAGCTGAAAATTGAGGGTGTTATAGATATGTGGAAAATGGGAGGAAACAGAAAATCCTAAAAATTGGAAAAAAATCAAAAACCCAAAATTAAAAAAAAATTTTGAAACTGAAAAAAAGTCAACATGTTTTATCCTCAAACTTAATTAGAAAACCTAAAACTCGAGGATTAAAGGTGGGGGGACAGGAGATTTTACGTAGTTTTTTTGTAGCTAGTGACGGTGTACAACGCTTAATGTCACTCTGCGTACAGCTGTCGTCCTCGCCTTTATGTATGCAATCGGGCGTGAGCTTTCTCTTTGCCCGCGTGGCTCAGTCGGTAGCGGCACCGCACCCTCAATCATCGTCCTCACAAGTTCAACTCCTCGAGGGGCATCTTTGAGCGGAATTTCGAGAACATTATTTTTTTTTTCATGTCTCCCCACCTTTAAAACCAAAAATCTGGAAACAGAATAGTCTGAACAATAATCATTTAAAAATCCGAAAGTCTGAAAACCTAAAAATTCGAAACAAGTTCCTCCTCTCAAAAAAAAACTTTTCCAAACCAGCTAGCACGCTGCCCGGAAAGTTATTAATCTTGAATTTCCAGGTTCTTGAAAACTTGGTCTCTGAACTGTGAAAGCTTGAAAATCTGAAAAAATTGGTAATTGGAATCTGGAAATTATATCTCTTGAATTTTAGCATACACTCGACACTCATGGAATTCTGGTCTTGCTGGAAATGCCTAAATTTATCTGTATATCTAGAACTTTCTGAAAATGTGTTTTAAATGATTGGCAATTTCACGGGCTCAAAGTTGAAAGTTAGGGGTGGCGTTCTATGCAAGTATTTACCACAGGTGATTCGCGAACAATCCGTTACGGATGCTGAATGACCACTATCGATTTTTTCCTTCCCATCACGAAATTCCGTTAGGCTGGATTCCTCCAAATCATTGAAAGTTGAGCAGGAATTGTAGTACCGCATAAAAATGAGTATGCAAATAAATTCTGAATTCTAGAATCTTCCGATGGGTCGTTGAAAATTGTTTGCAAATTTAATATAGTGGATATTGTGGTTAAACTACACATTATAATTGACTGAAACATTGAATTAATATTTTTAATATTGAAAAAATTACCTGAGTCACAAAATTTTGTAATCCTTTCAATCGCTCTTTTATATTTCCAAAACTTTGTACATTACTAGCATTCTGTTTAGTTTCCAAATACATACTGGCATATATTAAAGTTATCATCTGCAAAAAATCAGGGAAACTAAAAGTAATTAAGAAAAAAAATTCTAACCAAAAGTATGAAAGCTACCGATCCAAATAATCCAAAGTAAGTCAATCTTTCATTTTTGGAATTGGTAAAAATAAAAAATCCAGGATGGTCCAAGATTTGTAAATTGTTCGGATATTTGATTCTCACAAAATTTTCCATTTCCTGAGGGGTACTGTAGTTTGAGAACATTGCAAGTGGAACAGGAAAATATATAAAAATGGCGAGAAAAATATAGATGTAAAAGTAGGTAGATTTTTTGCGCTGAACCTCTATAAACCTTCAGAAATTCAGAAATTCAGAACTTTAGAAATTCAAAAAAGTTAAAAATTCACAAATCCAGAAATCCTGAAATTTGGAACTTGAAAATTGAACTCACATCAAAAAAAACTTTCCAGGTCTTGGCGCGGCTTGTGATCTAGTCAGTTGCAAAATAAAGGAAACGTATGCAAAAGATCCAAATGTAAAACACCAACCTATTTGAAATAGATTTTCGACTACCTAAATTTTCCAAGGCCATCAGATAATAAAACTCACAAACAGGGTAAACGTATCAAAATAATTTTTCAGCAAACCCTGAGAATAAGCCGCTGCGAATGGGTATAAAGTGACCATTCCTCCAAAAACGCCTAGCTGAACTTCACACGAATACAACGACATATGATACCAAAATGGCAAAACTTTAATGGAAACTCGTTCAGGTTTTGATTGTGCCCAAATTAAATAAAGCAGTAGAAAATTCAATTGTGTTGCTAAAAGATACACGAATACAGTAGCCCGGTACTGTAAAGAACGATCGGAATAGAATACGGTAGCGTAGATACGAAGGTCGGGGATTTCTGCTGACATTTTCCATCTAGATAATATGTGAAAATGCGGGTTGAAAATGCGAGAAAAATGAGACAGATTCCGTGTTCTACATGAATCAAAAACTAATCGGTGAGGAATAAAACAAGACAAAACCGAGTCAAAAAGACAAAATCAAAAAGTCAAAAGACACCGTACACAGGTAAAATGCGAACGGATCCGTTACGGACGCTC